AGCGGTAAGCCCTAGTACTTTCGATTAGCTGTCACTATCATTTTCTTTCCCTCCTCCTTTGTATCGTCTGCAACTCTGTAATCTTTTATTTTTAACTATTGTTAATAACTGATCTCAGCAAATTACAGAAGGAAAGAACATATAAATCAAACTTTGGTGATTGAGATCCATGCATGGCGTGAATTTTTTTAACAAGTTGTGTTGAAACCGGAAACCGGCCGGTCGGATTTTTGTCCGAGTCACCGGTTTTGAGCGGTTTTTTCCCGGGTTTACCAGTCAATTACATACCGAATTTTACATGAAACCCGGACTGAAAGTATTACAAGGTCAACCGGGTTTCAAAACATTAAACTATCAAGTATCAACCGTAATTTTTTAACAACCCGACCAAAAAAATATATATTTATATGTTCGGGAAAAAAAAAAGGACAAATGATGGGCCTTAAAGTCGGTCCCCGAAATTTCTATCGTCGAATCAAAATTCACCCAAAAAAAAAAATTATAAATACCTTTCTTGTTCCTAAACACCTAAAACTGAAAAATATATGAAAACCTAGCATTGTGTTTCTCTCTCAACTTCTCCATGGACGAATCCACCATCGAAGTAATCTTCTTTCTTTTCCTTATGGTTTTTTTTTTTTTTGAAAATTTTAGACACATCATGAGACTTACATGGGAAAATAAGTAACATTGTGCTCTTGCCGCCCCTCGATACATTCTTCTCCTTTTTTCCTGTGTTTCTGTTTCTCTATTGTATTGAGAAAAAGTATTCGTAGTATATAGTAGAATTTCTGATTAGATCTTTGGTACCTTAATTAGGGGATGAAATCGCTGAAATTGAAGGATTGTGAATCTAGTGATGCACCCCTCCTTCGAGATGTCCGGTAAATTGCTCTCTTTTTGCTTTGTTTGTTTGTTTGGCGAATTTGCATCTTTTATAAGATGNCTTCTTCTTGTCTTCATGTGTTTATGTTATTTCAGTTTTTCCGTTGTGGGTTATGACCCCGAACTTCGTGGGGATGAGATCAAGAGCGCGTTGACAAAACATTTCCGTTCATGTGGAGAGATCAGGCAGATTTATATACCCAGCGATGAAAGGATCCACAGGTTTGTGTCCTCTTCTTCTTCCTCCAAATTTTCCCCAAGAGTTAAAAAAGAAAAGCTAACTAAAAACTTGTTTTTGTTTTACAGAGCTCTCATTTGCATTCGTGGAGTAGACGTAGAGAAGAAGGCGTTGGAACTTAATGGAAGTGACATGGGANGATGGGATATACAAGTTAAGTTTCCAAAACTTCGCAAGGCTAGTCCCAGACCCCACTTCAAAGGATCAGGCGTGTAAGTAGACGTATTGTTTTTTTTGTTTTGGAGATTAATTAATAGTATCCGTAACATGTCTTCTTGTCATGTTTGATAACATTGCAATCAAATTATTACTATAGGATTGATGTTGTGGGTTATGACACTTCGCTTTCTGAGGAAGATGTCAAGCCCGCCCTGGATAAACATTTCTCTTCATGTGGAGAGGTCACTGAAGCTTTTCTTCTCGAATGGTTTGTTGTGGATTTCTTCCTCCATTTTTTTCCCATCTTATCGCATCAAGTTATTAAAATGCCAATTACTAAAGACTTGTCTTTGTTGATTTCTACAGCCAGAACAAAGTTGTGGCTTATATCGAGGGAGAAGGCGCAGTAGAAAAGGCCTTGAAGCTTAGTGGCTGTGAATGTGATGTGAAAGAATGTAAGATTGTAGCTAAAAAGTATATTCGGCCAAAAATACGCCAGCGGGTAACTGGCGGCGGCTCTGCTGTCCCAGGTACATAACTTTGCTCTTGATCGCGATTCCTGGTAACAAAAAAAAAAGAAGTAAAACCCTCTCATTATGTCGTGGTATGTTTTAGATTCGTATACTAAGAAGGCGAAGATGGCTAAGGTGTAGAAAACCTCTCTCTCTCTAT